GCATTTATTAAAAGTAGATATCCCTGCTTGAAGAGCCGGTAACATCTGCTGCCTGTGCGGTTCTATGCTCTTTTTCCGGATGCACTCTTAAAATTAAAACTGCCATTGTGCGTGACTGTCTAGACCCTGCATTTATTTGCCAGTCGAGCTGCAGTAAACAAAGGAGATGACAGCGGCAAAGGCTGAAGCATTAACAACAACGGCGGCAAACAATGCGCAACAATATCCTTACCATTCTTACCAGTCTGTCGTGCACTGTACGCAGCCATTCCATTTTTAATGACGCCAGTCAACAAATGGTGATGGAGATGGGTGCGTACTGGTATTTAAAGCGACACTCGAGCTGCTTCCCTCATAACTCGCATAAATCATTGCTCTTTTCGGGCCTGTGTAATGAAAGTGCTTAACAGCTACTCGAGATCTGAACAGGGAACAGAGAACAGAAACAGAAGCCGCAGTGTAAAGCCACTTCAAGCGCATTACATGACTTACCACTCCACGGATCTCAATCCAAAAAGGAGTGGGAGCCATGGCCATCAAGTCGAAATGATATGACACCGGCAGCGACAGCCCAATCTGATTCCGGGGCGAACAGGAACCATGACTTGTGGCTTACCTTGGTGACTGTCAGGACAAATAAAACGGCTGCCCACATTCAAATTAGCACTTGTCGCCCGTTAAATCTTATTCCCGGGAAGTTCCAGTGGAGCAGATGCGCCTGGCAGCCACGACACTTAAAAAAATTCTTTTCAACTTTTAGGTATCACATATAAGTTCAAGGCTTCAAAATAAAGCGTCATCAGTTCATAACATTGTTTTTATTTTTAATAGAATGATTGCTTTTTCAAGCTTAAACAATTTTAAATCGCAAACAGCTCGTTATTTTAAAGTTCTATTAACCCTTGGGTATACTACAAAAAAAAGCGTAATCTAACTAAGGAATAATAATTGATTCGGCCTGAGCCTATAACTTTGTTTTTAAAAAATATTAGATATCAAGTTTTGATTGATTGCTTTTTCCCAGTAAAATATTCAGTCATTCATTAATACAAACTGTTCTTAACTTTTCGGTGCTTAACAAAAATATAAGAGTAAAAAAGAATAACTTTTAGGGAAGCAAGCAAGGTGTTATCTAATTTGAAGATAGTTTATAGGTCATAACTTTGTTTTGTATATTACTAGATATGTATTAAGCTTGATTGATTGCTTTTTCCGGGTAAAATGTTCCATAAGCTTGTTATTATAATAGAACTTTATAATAACAAGATTATGGAACAAGATTATCCTAGAAAACATAAGAGCAAAAAAGATTTAGGTTCAAAAAAGCAATCAAAACGTAATCTAATTTAAAAATAGTTATTGATAACGTCATCAGCTTTTAACATTGTTTTTTTAAATTGTTAGATATTGAGCTTGATTGATTGCTTTTCCGGCAAAACAATTCTTAAGACGCAGGCAATTTTCTAAAATTTTCTTCATTCTGTGGTACTCTACAAAAACATTGGAGCCAAAACAAATTCAATTTTAAGGCAGCCAGCAAAATGTTAAATATTTAAAAATTATTTACTGATATTGTTAATTCCTGAGCTTATTTTAAGATTGATTACTTTTTCCAAGAATAAAATTATTGAATCGCAGAAAGTCATTCATTATTATAAAATTTCAGCTATAGCTTTTGCTAGATAGCTTAACATTTTTTAGACGAGTATAATTCAATTATTTTTCTTTCCATCATATTATATAATCCTAGATAATGAAATATGTGTTTGTTTTCAGTGCAGTTCCACCAAAAGTTGGCTGAACCAACGCCCCGCCTGCACTTTATGCTTTTGATAAATCGTTCGAGTTGAGACGACTTTTCCACAAAGGTGTGTTTGGAACAATGTCTCAGCTTATAAATCTTGTTTGGTCTATAGCAAGACGTATGTGGAGGCGGGAAATCCTTTTTTCTCCGCGGGCGACGTGTGTTTTTGATAAATACGCGGTTGACTGTTTTGGCAGTTTGTCCACCGGAAATCCCATTCCTCGATACTCTTCTAAAAAGATTCTGGTCATGAAAAATTAAGCTTTCTACGGGTATGCACGACTTGGGTGCGTGACACGCTAATTAGATGATAGTAAATTTATTTATTTTCGTTTTTTAACTGTCGACAGTGTTAGATCGATACACGAATGCGGTTTGCGGAGCCAGTTGATAACTGAATTCATGGAAATTGGGTATTTATTTTCAATGACCTTAGCCACAACAAAATTAGTTATCAGAATGGGCTCTATCAGTTCTGGGAACTGCCTTGGAGTTCTGAGAATGGGCACACTGAATGATGGACATGAAATCGGCAGATTTAAATATCGGCTCGAGTGGCTCTCTAAAGTGATCGCTGGCTTCACAAAGTTTGTCGAGTGCCGTGATTCATTAAAACCGAAATAAGGTCTTATATCATAAACGTTGGAGATAAGACAGTCAGACAGTCAGACATTCAGACCCCAGAAGCGGGTGTACAAGCTTATCAGGCGACATGGAACCTAATTGAAGTGCCATTTAACCTGGCAACCAGCTATCTTAGTCTATTTGGATATGAGTGTTAGCCCTGCAGAAAGCCAATTAGCCCAACATTTGCCATGTCTTCCGGTTGTCTTTTATCTAATCGCAGTGCATTGCCAATTAGTGGCTAATTTTAGCCAACCGGGAGGCTGAGGTATAAAAGGCTGTCTAGCTTGCCAGAATCACTAGATTGAAAGCCATTTAAACTTCGAAGATGCAGCTATTCACTCAAGTTATTCTATTGGCCGTGGCCCTGATCAGTGTGAGTTTATTGGAATATTCTCTTGTAATGTTTTACCAGTGGAAGTACTAAGTTAGAAATATTTCCTAACTTTTGGATTAACTAAAAAAAGTGTTTCTAGAAACAATTTCAAACTTATAATCGGTTATTTATATAACATGTTAGCAGGAACAAGTGCTTTTATCAAAACAAATTCTCATGCGCGTGTCAACTGCTATCTAAGAGTATATATCTAACACACATATACTCTTAGATAGCATATATTTGTTATATATTTGTTAAATAATTCAAAAACCGCAGTCGTTTTTTTCACAAATAATTATTACATTGGAAGATAGCAAAAAGAAATAGCTAAAGTATTCTATAACTGAAAAAACAAGCAAAACAGCTTACAATATGTTTTTTTTTTTTCTAATTTTTATGCGCAAATCTTACTTTAACTCCGAAATTTGTAATCTTTATATTAAAGTCAACATGTTTGTTTTGGTAAACAAATTGTACTCAAAATTCGTAATTTAAATTTAAGTCCGATTTTCTTAATCTATAAATTAATGTATTTCAAACGGGGAAATATAAATTGCATTCCAAACATTAACATGGATTACTCATGGATTCCAGGTCAGTGCCGTGCCGCATTTTGGACAGGATGTGGGTCTGGAGCAGGTCCTTTTCCGCATGGCGCTGGGTGAGGGCGAGGCCCGCGGGCTGTCTCCGGCTGCCCAGACCTGTGCCAACAACTACGTGAACGCGACCCAGAAGAACGCCGAGAGGCTGGCAAATGCCACCGATGCCTGCGAGCAGGCAGCCAATCTCACCAAGGTGGCCTTCAACCAGTCCAGCAACACCACGGTGAGCCAAATCCGCCTCCAGCTTTTGAACCTGGAACAGAACCTGCAGCTGTGCCGCAATGAGACCGACGCGGCCCTTTTCCTCAACTGCACTGTATCCACTGTGAGTGTGTCCATCTGAGCCAAACCAAACTGCAGACTCAATATCTATTTCTTACCCAGTTCGACAAGAACCTGCAGCTGCTGGACACCTCCAACTCGCAGGCGTATCAGACCCAGACTCAGTTCAGTTCCAATACCACCCAGATGGCTGCCCAGAGGACCAACTGCATAAGCTCCGCTGTCAGCGAGGCCAAGGTGCAGTCCATCCAGACGGCCAATGACTTCGATGCCTGTGTGGCCATGATCCCCGGCCAGAGGGATTTCGAGGTTCCGGTTCCCCTGGAGAAGGAGCAGCAGCAGGTGAAGCCAATGCCCGCCCAGGTGCCCAATGAGCAGGTCCCGGCCCAAGGAGACAAGCAAGAGAAACCACAGCAGCAGTTCGAGGACGTTCCTTTGAGCAACTAAGATTAAAAAACTTTAATCGTCAATAAACTGTTTAGCTTCACAGAGACCAAGTCGTTTGAAATCAGAGCTCTCGACATGTGTCCCCATTTTACAGAATGTCAAAAAAAGATATTTCACCTTAAGACCCGATGACAAATAAAACGGCTTTTATTTCAAATCGTCTTGCCGAGTATAATGGCTGGCTCTATTTGGGAGCCTGTTTTTATACTTTGCTTCTCTAAATTCTAATAAAACGTCTTTTCCACAAACATTTTCCTGCCAACATTACAGTTTTCGATGGTTAATAATAATAAGTTAATATTTAGCATATGGATTAGTTATAGATTCCTTGGGTAAACGATATTTAAAGTTTCCAGCAGTAAGGAAATATCTATTGCCTTCTGAAAATCAGATAACATACAGTGTTTCATGCGTTACCTATATCATTTAAGTCCCATTAAACCTAGTATAAATTGTATTGTTTTACATTATCTATTTGTTGAAATTTTATAGGTTTTTTCGTCCGATAACTGAAGCCCAAAAGTTTCCCTTGTTTTTAATAGCCTATCGGGCCGTCGCCGAACATAAATCACTGGAGTTTCCCAAGCCCCTCAAGCGGTTACTCACCCAGTCAGCAGATTTCCTGCCACTTCACACCCAGTTCCGTGCTGGCAGGGCTTTTATCATAGTGACGCCGTCATTTCGGCCACATATTCTTATCACCGGTTAGACTGCTTAAGACTTATCACCTGCCCATTTGGCCATTCGCCGATTGCGGTGGGCCCCCTAACAATTATAGATAAATGCAATTAATGAAGTCGGAATAAAAATAAAATATTAAAAATCAAATGCGCGCCGCTTTAAAATGGTCACCCGCCAGCGGAGCCGATTCAGAAACGACCAGAACCGTCGTGATGGAGGTTCTCTGCAAAATTTTAACAGTGTGCCTGCTGCTCGGTGGCGCTCAGGTGAGCATACCGAATACTCCAGAGAAGCAGCTTATATAATTCGTAAATTCCCCGGTAAATAAATCCCCCAGGCGTTCACAAGGGCAGAGCCAGCCAAGGAGCTCACTTGGCAGTCCCTGTTCTTCGATGCCGTGACTGGCAATCTGCAGGAGCCGCAGGCCGATGAGCTCATCAACCTGGAGGAGTGCACTGCCCTTTACACGGTGGACAACATTGAGATTCTGGTGACGGCTGGCTACAAGATTCGTCGTTGCAACAATGTGGATGCCAAAGATATCGAGAGGTATTTGGAGCGTCACGATGCCGTCTACACGAAGCACTCCTTCGAAAGGGAGATGATTGGATGCCACACCCACGACTGCTACGTGGATGCCGTACGTTTAAATTATATATGTAATATTCTGTTATGGCTAAGCTAACTCCTCTGAACAGGTTTTGAATCTGTTTAGTTCGGTGCGATTGAACCGCTACGATCATCGTCGCCGCAGAGCCTGCGTCCTGCGTGCGGTGGAGAAGGCGGCGGTCAAGCTGGATGCTGCCTCCATTGCCCTGGCCAATTGTCTTGCCCTAACGCAGCCCCAGCCACAGCCGCCCCAGAACAGCACCCTGGCACCTCCGGCACAGAACACCACTTCGAAACCACCTTTCATAGTTAATACCACAACTGCTGCACCGGGATTGAACACCACCCAGTGGCCCAACACCAGTACCACACCCAACTTCACCACCACTGCTACTCCGAACTGGAATTCCACTGAAGGTCCATGGTGGGGAAACAACACAACAACTGGAGGTCCGTGGTGGGGAAACAATACGACCACTGGAGGTCCTTGGTGGGGAAACAATACAACAACTGGAGGTCCTTGGTGGGGAAACAACACAACAACTGGAGGTCCTTGGTGGGGAAACAATACAACAACTGGAGGTCCTTGGTGGGGAAACAATACAACAACTGGAGGTCCATGGTGGGGAAATAGCTCGACTACTGAATTTCCATGGTGGGGAAACAATACAACCACTGGAGGTCCTTGGTGGGGAAACAATACAACAACTGGAGGTCCTTGGTGGGGAAACAATACAACAACTGGAGGTCCATGGTGGGGAAATAGCTCGACTACTGAATTTCCATGGTGGGGAAACAATACAACCACTGGAGGTCCTTGGTGGGGAAACAATACAACAACTGGAGGTCCTTGGTGGGGAAACAACACAACAACTGGAGGTCCTTGGTGGGGAAACAATACAACAACTGGAGGTCCATGGTGGGGAAATAGCTCGACTACTGAATTTCCATGGTGGGGAAACAATACAACCACTGGAGGTCCTTGGTGGGGAAACAATACAACAACTGGAGGTCCATGGTGGGGAAACAGCTCGACTACTGAATTTCCATGGTGGGGAAACAATACAACCACTGGAGGTCCTTGGTGGGGAAACAACTCGACTACTCAAGGTCCTTGGTGGGGAAACAACACAACAACTGGAGGTCCATGGTGGGGAAACAATACCACTCAAGGAGGAAACTCTACCCAAGGGCCCTGGTGGACAAACTCGACCCAAGCACCCAGCTTGAACTCGACTGAGGCTCCGTGGTGGACAAACACCACTGCCAGCTGGAACAGCACCACCGCCGACGACACAACCACCACCGAGGGGAACTGGTTCGATCACCTCCTCGACCAAATTGGATCCCTCTTTTAGAGCTAAAAAGCCACAAGAGGCTCATCCCTACTTTCTAGAAGGATGGACTGTTGCCTAAGCTCTGGGCTAGCAAATAAACTATAAATAAATAAACTTATCAGCATTGAAAAGCTTTTGCGATTATGCCCGGCTGGCGGGCCAATCAATGCGGGTCGGTTGATAAGTTGATAAGCCATCGCCTCCAATGGGGAAAAAGGAGCACCGCAAATTATACGGAGACCACAGCCACCCAGTGGGGCACGGACTGATTAAGATTTATTAGCCAGCTGCGGGGACCACGTGTCGCAGACGGCTGGGGAAAATGATGGATTTCGGTGAGACGTCAGTAAAATATTGCCAATACTCCATGGACATGGCCTTCAGCCCTCCAAGTGGGTGGCTTTGGCCCGGCACAAAAAATCCGCATACATAACGAGCTCCGAAGCTCTATAATTAGTTAGGATCTAGCGCAGGAATCTGCGGTAATGAGCTGGCTGCCTTTCCATTGAGCTTCCAGCTAAACCAATAAAATAATCATGGATTATATAAACGTTATTGGTGTAGCAGACATCACCGAGGACTCGAGCCCCGAGCCAAAGGTTGAATAATTGCAGGGGGCTGACATTTGCATAACCTGCTGTCTGCCAGCTAGGCTATAGTGCCAAAGTGGAACCAGGATGGAGCCAGGGCGGACCCAAGTTGGTTATGCGGCTCTGCCATACAAAGGGAAACTGACCTAAACAATGGAAGTATGCGCAAAACTTTTAACCTCAGCGCCAGTAGATAAATCAACCTGGATCATCACCCACAGCATTCGTTGTCAGCACACACCTTCATTGTGTGTCCTGCGAAGGGTAAATCCCCGCCAGACACAACAGCACTGAGGAAAAAATAGCCTACTTAAACCATTACCATTTCGATAAAATGTATACCATTTAATGTTTTACAGAAATATTTTAAATTAAAATGTTTAATTATTTAATTTGTGTAATGATTAATTAGTGCTTTACAGATTATGAGAACAATAGACTAAAAAAATTGTATTAACCATTTCACTTCGATTTATGCATTAGTAAAATATTAAAAAACTTTTAAAAAGTTCGAAGGAGGTGTTTTTATCTTTTGTATCAGCTAATAGATTATTTCAATTAGTAATACTGCTTGCTGGTTCCTTAACGTGTAGCAAAGCTATAAGCACTACCTGACAAGCAACGGTAGTTTAGATTCCAGAGTCTTTATGTCCGATATGCCTCTCTATTAATCCAATAGGAAATACTATGTAAACCGACCACCATGGCTGTCTCGGTCTTGCCCTTACGATCAGTATAAGTTCCACACTAACACTTGTTCAATATACTCACTAAATTGATTGCATATTAATCGTGCGCCTACAAACATTTTGATCTATATTTTGAGTTTTAATTCTTACTTAAAGAACGGCTTTTTCTCACTGTGTAGCCCTGCACAATTGCATTGGATCGCAGGAGCTGCCAGTAACATTTACGCCGCTGGAAGTGTGTGTGCTCAAACATTTCCCCCCGCTGACCAGGGCATTGCAGCTATAAATTGCAGCTGGACCTTTACTCACAGCGTTTGTATGAATGTGTGTCTGTGAGTTTGTTTGCCCGTGTGTGTGTGTGGGTCAATATTTTTTCATGTTAATTCAACTTGGGTGCGGCACACGGGGCGAATGTGTGATGGTGATGAGGCAAAGCGAGGCTCCCGGAATGTAAATCAAGGCGGGCGCACATTTCGAGTCCGAATCCACTTCGCTTTAACTTTTCGACCCCGGACCGAGAAAAGTTTTAATGGAAATGCTCGAAATTAAGTGATCAATTAACATTAATTGCCGAATGCAGGGCGAAACTTCATAAAAATGTCGGCCCCAGGTGATTAGATTAAAGACAAAGGATTGACCCTTTGGAAATCAAAAGTTTCCACGGCCAGCGCCCCCAAAAACATAACACTAACACTAAACCCAGCGATGAGCGTTTCGATGTTCTCTCTGTGCTAAATTGCCAATTAAGATTTTTAACGATACCGCCTGAGAAGACTGAGAAGATGGCAAACTTGAAATTAGTAAGTCATTAAAGTGCGACCCGTCCAGGCAAAAAAGAGCATCCTGTCGCGGGCTCCTTGAAGAACAAAGGGGGGGAGGGGCGTAAAAAGGTGCGAGGAGAGAAGGGCGTGGCCATTGTGGGAGACACAGCAGCTGACAGGCTGACGTTTGGGTAACTAATAGGCCTTATTTGCATGTTAATTGCTCTTGACTAAGTCAACACCAACAGGAGTAGCAGCAGCATTGGCATCGGCAGCAGAAGCAGCAGCAGCAGCAGCAGCCGCACCAGCGAGGGTAAACGATGGCATAAAAGTATTATAATAACAGTAGCACAATTTCCCGAGCAACAAGAATAATGAGCAGGGAAAAAGCTGAGGACCGAGGACCCAGACTGAGAAGGCGCTAAAAACAAACCCACGTTCTGCATTAATTTTAGCGGAGCAGAGTGTCGCTAAAAAGTAGGCAACACTCCTCTAATGAACCCATTAAATTTACCAGCCCCATGAAATTATGCTGCCATTTTTTGGAACCACTTTATACACCACAACCACACATTGTAACCCAACATCGACGTCTCTCTGTGCCGAACAACCGAATAACCGAATAAATCACTGGCGTCACATTCCCTGATTTCGGCCATAATTGTTTGTACTTCGTTTTGGCAACTCACACGCTGCGCAGCACTCGTATTTCACAGTCAGCCCGCAAACTATTTGCCTAATGACAACACATAAAGCAGCGTGCCACAGTTTCCACAAACGCAAATAAATAAACACTTTTTCTTTTGCCGTTTGCATTTGCCATTTATTTTAATTTCATTTTTAGAATCTGCATATGCATGTCGCTGTGTTTTGCGGTTTTTACGGGGGCGGGAGGCTTTGGGTTGGAGCACAAAATTGAGGAGAAGCGGATATAACAATTTCTCTAACTAACGCCATCAGCAGATAAACTAACAACTGAAACTTTGGCGTATATGCGAAATTATGCAAAAATTCTGAAAAAGCTTGGCGTAGCCATATATTACCCATGTCCAAAAATAAATATACTCTGCAAAAATATATCGAAAATAGTATATTTATGCTTTTTAAAACTTTTATTTTCTGTTGACTAAAAGGTAATATTTTACATTGTCTACAGTCCCTCTACCCTCGGCACAAAAATTAAATATCCAGATTATAAAATTTTCCATCAAATCATACAAAGTGAATAAAATATAATAACACTTTACATTTGTATTTCTTTTATTCATGTTTGAAAAATAAGTGATATATTCCTTTTGTTATAAACTAGTCGCCAAATATTCGATTTCATCATACTCCTCCAAAAATAGTAAGGCAAAACTGTGAAAAATTAGTTTAGATTTGGCAAGCTTATTTCAACTGTGGAAGTTGGCCAGTAAGCCTGAATAGTTTATAAATTCAGCTTTAGTCCACCCAACTAATGTTCTCGAATTTAATTACACATTATGATAACGACGAGTCCTTAATTTAATTATATAATTTTGACAACTGAATGAAAACGCTCGCAATTACGACAAATCGGAAAAGAAAAAAACAAAACAAATTAATTGCGCTGAAATTGCTAACCATTTTGTTAAATCGATCAAAGTTAATTGAAGTCAGTTGGCGACACATTTGCATGTCATACATATTTAACAAACGGAAAAACACTCGGCATAACCAAGTGCAACAGCAGTGGAAATTAGCATAATTTCAACACGCAACATGCAATACGTGGGCTCTAATCAAAGAATTGCCCTTCGTGCTTCTCTGCAATTTGCGCATAGTTATGGAAATGTACGATTAACCGCGAACAGAGACAAAAGAGGAAAAAAGTTCACGAGACTCCAAAATGAAGCACATAATTTGAGCCTCAATTTGTGGCACACGCAAGACTAAAAAAAACAAAAACATGTACTAGTAACATAGTATGGCCCCGAAGATTGAACGAGTAATTTTACTGTATCGGCTTCAACACATCATATAAATAAACCATTTATTCTCAAAGAAAGGGAAAACCCTTTGCACACGTGCCAGCAAAAAGGAAGAGAAAAGAGCCGAAATCACATGCAATAAAAAGAGTAATTTGTATAGTAAATATGTAAGCGAGGCGCGAAAGCCATAAAATCAAACAGGGATGCCACGTGTAAGCTCAGGTGACTAAAGTGGGCAGATATATGCCCCTCTTCAAGGGGAGTTACATATAGTACTAAGCAGAAGCTCAGACTGCTAACTATGAAATAGTCATAGTCAAGTTTATCCTTATCTTTTACCGCAGGCCATGCCCATAAATTCGCAAGTGCGCCCATTAACGCTCGAGTTTTTGGCCAAAGTCCTTAAAGCATAAAAGCCGCGTCCATAAATTTGCCTGCCTAATACAATGTCGCCTCGGCCAGCGAGCATAATGGCCTAAGTAAGCGGTTAACACTTGCGGAATGGGAGAAAATTCCAGACAATGGCTTTTCTTGGTCTCAGCCGCAACTGCGGAAGACTCCATTAAATTGTCAATTGTAAAGAGGCAGCCGTGAAATGAAATTGAAACGAAACGAAAAAAATAAAATTATATATATAAGTATAGCGGGGATATATCTGCATATCGGGCTGCTACGTAATTGAACTCTACAATTGTTGAATTTACTGCAATTTTATGGGCTTCTGTGGACGCAAATTGTGCGCTCGCTGATTGAAATAAATTGAGGCTTAATGCCCGCGAATATTGAAAAAAGTTTTCTCGATTTAATGGGGCCCTGATTGAATTACGTATACGCCGTGAACGCCAGAAGACTGCCGCATTTATCATAAAACCGGGCCATAATTACGGGGAGATGGCCAGCAGTCCGTCCATACGTTCAATCAGTTGGCAAAACTGCACACCTAAACAATTGAGCAAACTGAACAATTGAACAATTGAGCAGCGGAGCCATTGAAATTGTGAAACAACTACATGTAAACAATTGTGCACATAAATTGGCGTGTTATGTTAGTTTTTCGGGGTAATCGTTTTTGGGTAATGCTTTGTTTTCACCGATTTACCCATTTTATTCGAATGCCACACGAGAAGGGCTAGTTTAGA